TCACCAAATTGAGATACCAGTCAATGCCTATATGCACTGCGCCGTAGTGCAACAAACCAGTTTATCTGATCAAACCTTACGGCTTACGTTTCACTTACAACCTTAGAATCTAATACTTATAATCCTTAACCTTTTACAATAAGCTGGTCAAGTCTTCACATTAAGACAAAAGTTAATTGATGTTATAAGCAAGTAGGTAGGTATGTCTGTGTCAATTACTACAGACATGGGTTTCTTTCATATATTTTTTCTCGGGGTGTAGAGGGGTACTTAAAAGTCCGGCGCGGGAGTCGTGTGGGTGGGGGGGGGGGGGTGGGGCTTACACTTGTTAGAACCTTTCTATAAGTAATCTTTTCTGTTTTGTCCCTCCACGACCTGCCCTCACAAATAGATGCCTGAAAGAAACGGTTATGACGTCACAAGAACTCAGTGCTGTCTGTGATTGATTTTGACAGCGTAGACCATGAAACAGCATCGTATTTAGCCGTCCTAAAACATCGTATTTAGCCGTCCTAAAACATCGTATTTAGCCGTCTAAAACACATCGTATTTAGCCGTCCTAAAACATCGTATTTAGCCGTCCTAAAACATCGTATTTAGCCGTCCTAAAACATCGTATATAGCCGTCCTAAAACATCGTATTTAGCCGTCCTAAGACATCGTATTTAGCCGTCCTAAAACATCGTATTTAGTCGTCCTAAGACATCGTATTTAGCCCTCTTAAAACATCGTATATAGCCTTACTAAAACATTGTATATAGCCGTTCTAAACCATCGTATTTAGCCGTTTAAAAACATCGTATTTAGCCGTACTAAAACATCGTATTTAGCATTCCTAAGACAACGTTTTAGTCGTTCTAAACCATCATATTTAGCCGTTTAAAAACATCGTATTTAGCCGTTTAAAAACATCGTATTTAGTCGTTCTAAACCATCGTATTTAGCAGTTGAAAAACATCGTATTTAGCCGTTTAAAAACATCGTATTTAGCCGTTTAAAAACATCGTATTTAGGCGTGTTGAAGGCGAGGAATGAGTACTTAAACGGCCGCATCAGGTGTCATCGCTAGTGCATGTTTTTATAGAGTGATGTTTGTTGAGCTGTCCAGAGCCAACACAAAGGCATTCAATGCGTTAAACTATAAGCAAACAGTTCAGTATTCTAATGGCCTTATAAATCTGATTCACATTCTAACCAAGCACGTTCGGTCACAGTCATAATTTAACTGGAAAAAAAAATACGTTTTGCAAAGATAATAAATATATATAACGATGAAAAAAGGTGTTTAACAATACAAGACTATGTGTTTTATAACGTAAGATTTGTGTGATATAACAGTGACAGAAAATGTATAATATAACGTGAAAAAAAGGTTAGGTATTAAAGAGTAACCGCCTGATCGAAAGGCTAAGTACTTCATTACTACCTTCAATATTATATATCGTTTCCACTATTTGATAAACGTACCAGAGTGCACTCAGCTCTTTCGAGTACCCGGCTCTTGTCGGCGACACTAAAGACAACTTGAGACGCCAGCGACACAATCTCTTCGTCTTTAAATTCACACACAATAAAGGAGCTATACCTCACCTTAACGTGTTTAGTATTGTATGGCGCTGATGTTCTGTATGCGCATAATAACCACGACTAGTAAACATTGTGATAAAAACCAAACGATTTTTAACGTTGAAAAGTCTCGGGTTTCATTTCTCAGTGTAAGCTATGGACTTATACTTTTAAAAGAGTTCAATATTGTTATAAAAATGCTGGTAAATCGTCAATAGTGTATTTGGTGTCATTGCAATTTTTTTATTTGTATCCCAAATACGTCCCAAATAATATATTGCAGCTGCTTTTACGAATATTTCATTTCAATGAATGTTTGATAAACTTGTAATAACGCTTTTTTTTAATTTATTTTTTTCGAAGTTTAATATTATGTCTTATGCAAGAGGTACATTGATTCTGGACATCCATATTCTTAAACCCAATGACTCCATTGTCTCGATACTTACACACTCCTGAATCCAATGACTCACATTAATTTAGACTTCCACACTCTTGAATCCAATGAGTTGAGACTTCCACACTCTTGAATCCAATGAGTTGAGACTTCCACACTCTTGAATCCAATGACTCAAGACTTCTGATAAGACAACTCTTCTCAAGCTCGCTTCAGATTTGGAAATAAACCGGGAGTGATCTCCCCTAAACTTTCTCGAATATTCTTATATAAAACAACAGAGGATGGGAACTCGGGATATAGTTATGATTTTTAATCCATTTTAAATACATAAACTTTTTAAAATAAAATAGAATCTCATAGAAAAAAGTATTGCACACCAAGTGAACGCGGAATAAAGATGTTCATAATGGTGCGCAATATTATTAGTACTTTTAAAATTTACATTAGTTTTTTGAGAAATCGGAAGTAGCGTAAATTACTACTTCCAGTCAACGGAAATTACTCAAAATTTAACAGAAGGTAGAGAATTAGATCTTTTACTTACATGTGAAATTTCATTTATCTATCTGAAATAGTACTCAAGTTATAGGCTTTTAAAAAATTCAAAGTAGGAAAAGTACCACTTCCGGTTATCGGAAATCGCTCAAAAGTTAATACGGATCTACGATTTTGATAAAATACTTATATATGAAATTTCATCAACCTAGCTGTAACGGTACTCAAGTTATCGTGTTTACACACGGACAGACACACACACGGACAGACACACACACACACAGACATACGGACAAGATTGCAAAATTATGTTTTTCCGTATCAGTGAGGTGTAAAACGTCGAGATTTGTAAAAATCTCGATTTTTTTTTTTGCACGATTACAATACTTTCTCTATACTACGTATATACGAGAAAGTAAAAAGGAAGTCAAATCATGCAGCGAGCATCAAACTGTGCTGCGCGCATCAAATGGTGCGCAACGTACAGACGTACTAGAGGGTGAAAGATTTAACTGAATGACGTTTCAAATTTAAACTCAAACCAGCTGACCCTACAAGTGTGACACGCGTGGGGATGAGTCCTGGCCGGGATGGGGGTGGGAGGGAGCGAAACTTTCAAACGATTGGTTAATTACAGATATCGATTGGATCGCAATCAGCCGGAAACGGAGCGTTGTGTGACTCGCATACATAAATGATTCACTTTTACAGCACCAATCTTAACAGGCCAGCGAGGCAAAACAAAACCTCGTTTAAAGCAACTATGACATCAGTGTTTGGTATGTTTTCTAACTAACTGGTAAGATATATCGTATATTTTGGTGTTTAGGATAAAATAATTTGACAATAAATGATTTTTTTTTGACAGTTTTATTTAAGGATCCGTGTGATTTGACGTAGTCGTTCAGGCAGTATTTTGTGCTGTCGCCGCAGTTAGTGTGTGTGTGTGTGGGGGGGGGGGGGTGGTGGGGGAGGGTTTAATGTCAACAGCCCAGAACTTTGTTGTTTGAAAGATATAAAATGTGTTATTCAAATTAAAAATAAAACACGAGATTGTAATTGTATGATAAGGTGCTATATGTATTAGCAGTGTAGAGATTTATTGGTATTCGAGTTATATTAAGGATAAACAAGATTCTAAAACGACTTTAGCCGATCAGGTTTTTTTTTGTCAGCGCTTGAGTATACGACATTTTAAACATAACATGCATCAATGGAAGTCTAGGTAATATGTCATCAAATATCATCTACGGAAGTCTAGGTAATATGTCATCAAATGCCATCTATGGAAGTCTAGGTAATATGTCATCAAATGCCATCTATGGAAGTCTAGGTAATATGTCATCAAATGCCATCTATGGAAGTCTAGGTAATATTTCATCAAATGCCATCTATGGAAGTCTAGGTAATATGTCATCAAATATCATCTATGGAAGTCTAGGTAATATGTTCTGAAATGTCATCTATGGAAGTCTAGGTAATATGTCATCAAATGTCATCTATGTAAGTCTAGGTAATATGTCATCAAATATCATCTATGGAAGTCTAGGTAATATGTCATCAAATGTCATCTATGTAAGTCTAGGTAATATGTCATCAAATGTCATCTATGTAAGTCTAGGTAATATGTCATCAAATGAAATCTATGGAAATCTAGGTAATATGTCATGTCATCTATGGAGGTCTAGGTAATATGTCATCAAATGCCATCTATGGAAGTCTAGGTAATATGCCATCAAATGCCATCTATCGAAGTCTAAGTAATATGTCATCACGTCATCATTGGTGAATGGATCTGTTTTAAAAACCGAGTAGTAATAATAACTGTGTGTATTCCTTTCTGACAGATAATTCGTGGCTGTGTGATATACTTAGTTACGTCTGCATATAGGTCAGCCCGACCTCCCAATGACCCGGTTATATCGCGTCATGGAACCTTATCATACCAGGTCTAGTTTGTATTCCAAGTGGCGTTAACAGTGTGACAAAACGCTTGTGTAGAATCTAGACTAGAACGGTCCGAATTGTGATGTAAGCTGAACAAGGTGTACGTCATGCTTGGATGAACACGGCAGATCTAGCACTCGTGGTTCCGGTACCTGCACTCGGGTGGGTTATTAGCACCGGTGCTAACCCGTTTCATCAAGACATTTAAATACCCGATTTTGGAATCATTTTAGAACCGTTTTATTTTTTTCAGGTGATTATTTTCACAAATTCTGTGGACTGTTTGTGATTTGAAATAGGAATTGATATCTGTGTCGCTCTGTTGAAGAGGCATCCTTGAGATAACTTTAATGGTGCGCTATGATACTACACAAACACTTCCTTGTTTCAGCCGAGGTTAGTGTTTCGTGTGTTAGGGTTTAGTCTGTTTCAACTGAGGCTAGTATATTCATGTGTTCGGGTTTAGGATTTTCAGCTGAGGTTAGTATATTCATGTGTTTGGTTCAGACTGTTTCAGATGAGGCTAGTATATTCATGTGGTAGGGTTTAGACTGTTTCAGATGAGGCTAGTATATTCATGTGTTTGGTTCAGACTGTTTCAGATGAGGCTAGTATATTCATGTGTTTGGTTCAGACTGTTTCAGATGAGGCTAGTATATTCATGTGTTTGGTTCAGACTGTTTCAGATGAGGCTAGTATATTCATGTGTTTGGTTCAGACTGTTTCAGATGAGGCTAGTATATTCATGTGTTCGGGTTTAGTCTGTTTACACAGATAAAGATTAGAACTCAGTTTTTGTTTAGATAAATAGGGGTTGTAATTTTGAAAAATACAATCCACTAATGTATAATATTAGGAGTTGTGATATAAATACAATCTAGTATTTTAAAGTAGTAAAGGGAATTAAAATGTAACCCATTATTTTATAAAAGTAAGGTTTGAAATTTAAAAAAAAACACCCCCTCAACCTAGCTAAGTAGGCTATAATGTTGCAGTTGTTTTCCTGTATGTGTAAATACGGTTAGACTCAGGGATTAAGGATCATAGCCAGGGTTAGGGTTAAGATATCTGTTCGCAATGCCAACTACAGTATAGTCTAGGATACGCCATAAGTAAGAGTTCTAACATACATACTTAGATATATATGAGGTACGTATACATATCGTTCAATCATCTGATATATCAATAGGCGACGCACCAGTATTTTTAACCTATGACAGTTGTAATTCATTTCACTGCCGCTTTTTTCAGCCGCTCAATAACAGTATTGATTTGTGTATGCACCGAGCAAATATAGAATATAAAGGTAAATCGACTATTATGTCTCAATGCAGCCTTTGAATTTGTGTGTATTAGCGAGGCATAGAGTGTGAATAGGGGAAAGGCTAACTTAAAAATCCGGTGTTAAAATATATTGCTTTGCTTCCTGTCTTACTTGAGGATCGCGAAAAAGTAAATTTACTTCATTCCGAAAACAGATACTGAATGTAAGTCAGTAGTTTACATTTTTTCTCGTACTTTTAAAGCTACGATTTAAACATAGTCCAATTTTGAATTATTTGGCTTTATTTCTAGAAAATGTGAAAGTTAGTTGGGTTTAGTAAAGCAAATCAAATAACGGAATTTTTTATTGAACCCTCTTTTCCGAGTAAAATCTTTTCCTGTTCGTTCAAAGACACATGTGGCAGATAAAGCAGAGTTCATCTGTTTCATAGACCTCGGCATAGTAAAAGATAGTGTGGTCTTGAACTCGAGACTTTTGGGTAAACAGTCTAACTCTCTACCGCTAGGCCACGTCGTCCCATTTTCTCCGCGTATAAGGCCGTTCGTTATTTTTCATCTCTATATATATATATATATATATATATATATATATATATATATATATATATATATATATATATATATATATATATATATATATATATATATATATATATATATATATATATATATATATATGGTCTGGTGAGCTGTGGTTCACGTTAAATGTTTACAATCGTAGAGCCGGGTTTAGCGACGGTTATTAGGGGCAGATAATGTAGTTTGAAACCATTTTAAACTTAGGGAAGGTAACTAAGAGGACTTTGCTTTCACGGGGGAGGGGTGGGGGTGGGGTAGGGGTTGGGTAAAGGCGGCGAGGGGGGGGTTATCGTCCTTAACGAGCTACTGATAGTATTTTAAAGCAAGTATTTTCAGTGGCAGCATTGGTACTGTCGAAATCACAAATTATGAATTACTGAAAAGTAGAAAATAAAACAACTAAATAACGGCGTATGATACGCCGCGGGTCGGCTTGTATCTTATACTGTATTACCTGTGGCCAGACCGACCCAATGAATATGAGTTCAGGTTTAGATACGGTGCCTAGATCGCTAATGTATAGTAGGCCACAGCAAGACAAAGTAAAGAAAGTCAGGGTTTTTTAGACTGCTACAAAAACTGACAAGTTTGATGGGAGGGGCGAGCGAGTGGGGTGTTGACGGGAACACTTGATACTTTGTCAACAACGAGTGCGTGCATAGTTTGGTGTCTAGGTTTATGGCAAGTTTTATGGAATGTAGTTTTTCGGTACTGCTAACGCGTAGGTGACAAGTCAAGAGTTAGGATTTAACTATTGGGACCACGAGATACATTGATGTGCACATTTAGAGCTAAGACCAAACAGATCTAATTCTGTCAGTAAGTTATATTAATATCTTACAAATGTTATGTCATAGTACACATTTAATGTCATATTATGGTGTAAATATTTTATTGTTTATTTGAGAGTTTTATTTATTGCTTATATACATTGATTAAATAAAAATAGGTCTACATTTCCATTTAATAGTTTTACTATTCAGTTAGTGTATCCGTCCATCTGTCTGACAGAATACATAACGAATAAGGCAAGAGTGATCTTCCCTAAACTTTCTCGCATATTCTTATATGACAGTAATAGGGGGCAGTACTCCCAGTCCGACCAGGCTTTAGAAATGTTCTGCTACATGCTTTTATTTAACTTGCTACCTCTGTAGTGCTTCGTCATGGATCGAAACGGCCGAGCGAGATTTCGATCATTTCTAACTGACCGATTGGTTTCGAACTTGGCACTTGGGTCAAGACCCGACGACTATGCAATTTGGCATCAAAATAGACTAAACTGGAGGCCTAATTAATTTTGTGTAAAAAATACTTATTTAAAGTACTACTTACCGCGCAATTATACGCGCATTTTTCATGTTCAATTAGTGCGCAATAGTTTTTAGTCATGCAGCTCTGTTATATTAAAAATTATAAAGTTCTGAAGCTTTTATGTAATAAAACACTAAACAAGAGCAAATAAATGATTCTCTGTAAAAATATAATGATTAACTGCTATTTAAAGAACTATATTAAATAACTATATTACCTATTGGATACCTTTACTATTACTAAGGAAGCCGGTTTACACAAAAAAGACTGACGTCATTAATTGTTGAATAAAAAATAGAATTTTAAAAAAAGTCGAAGGCCGAAAAAAACACACAATAATAATAGAGACAAAAATGAAACATCTAATTTTTTTGTCTGTCTTTAGAAGTGTCCAAAAAAAAGTAAAATATATAGTAAGCGTAAGTATTAGGATTACGGTTAAGTTAAGGTTAATATAGGATTTAACGTCAGTTTGATTTCAAAATCAGGTTAAAATGCCGTGTCCAAATAAAGTTCTGTTTCCATCAAAATGTCTGACCAATGGAGGCGAGCGAGTTGACGTGAATCCTTCCATCATGTTGTTGACATGGAATAAAAACGTGCTTTTTTTAGATTTAGCAAACAAAGCGACCGTTAAAAAAATAAAAAATAAAAACTTAAGCCTAAAATTAATTCATATATTTTATATTTAGTTGCAAATCAAGAGAACGTGAAAATAATTTGTTGAGTTTAAGGCTAAATTTCTATTTATTTTCATCAAGCCTAAGTTATAAACGGATGTTTTACTTTCGTAAGACAAATATTGATTGGCTGTACAGGAACTCCGTGATCGATAACTATTTGTTTACAAAACTTTGCAGATAAATTTTTTAAATAACAAAGCAAATTTAAACCCCATGACCTAGTTTTCCTTTTTTTTTCGCTTACAATAAAATTTATGGCAGCCTATCGAATAGCAGGATGCCATTGTTTTATGTCGCCATTACACGTGAAAAACAAATTGTTTTTGATTTTTTTTTTTTAAATTTTATTTAGTTACCGAAAATATTAAAAACATCAAATACATCCAATCTTTAGTAAAGTCCGAAAAAAAACAGTGCATGATTTTTAAATTAATTAATGGGCCTCTCGAATACTTTCTCGCTCGCGTCCATTAAGTAAGGTACTGATTTCGGTTAAACTTCAAGTCGAGTTTAATTTCCGTTTGCGTCAAAGTTCCGTCTTTAGATAAATTTCCGCTTAATGTTTAATTTCCCGTTGTATTTCGACCTCAATAGGCAAATTATTAGTTTGAAAAATACTTTGTTTTGAGAATCCAACTCATTGGAATATATCAGTTGTATCAACGATTTAGTAGTCATAATGTCTATAAAACCAGTTTTATTTCTTTATATCTCTTATCTTCAGTATTTATATCAGAATGTATTTGTATCCATCTTTAATCTATTACAGAAAAGCACCTTATCCATATTGACATAAATTTCAAAAACTACATAAAGAAATATATTAACACTGATTTAATTTGAGCCTGTTATTCCCATTTTCAACATGGTGTATCGGAATTGTAAGCGGGTGTTGTGTGCTGTTACCTTACCCAAACTGTTGGGAGGAGTGACGTTGATGTCCACGCTGTTTGTTATACTAACACACCAAAACTACTTGTTTAGTCGTGCAGATAGTTCTCGGTACATGATCATCAGTTATTTCAATACACGTTCGAATGAATCACCTGAGGAACCGCAAGCCTGTGTACACCCTGATCTTCAGGTCGATGATCCAATAATGCTAAACTTTACCAAAGCGGCAGAGCCTATAATATGTAGGGGCTACACCAATTGGGCCACCGTTGAAAACGGGACTGTTCGTTACACGAAAATCGCCTTAAACTACCACGGCGATTTTAAGTGTGTTTACTATCCTTTGATTCGAGGCCCAGGGGATTATAACATTACATTTGGTGAGCCTTTTCCTGTGAAAAATGGAAGTCCTTTAGTGTCGAATTTCTTCAAACTTGAATGCAACTCTTCTTTAAAAAGGACACATTATTTAAACGTCCACGCTGGTGTGTTTGTGAACCAGACGATCAAAGACAGGCTCAAGCTGACCAAACCTCCAGCCAACGGTCTGGGACTGTCTGTGGCGCTACTAGGGTTTGATTCCATGTCCAGAATGTCCTGGCTGAGACGGATGCCAAAGACCAGAGAGTATCTGGTCAACACGCTAAAGGCGATAGAGCTGGAAGGTTACAACATCTTGGGGGACGGGACGCCGGCGGCGTTGTTGCCGATCCTGACCGGCAAGCACGAGCATGAGCTACCGGAAGCCAGGAGAAAGATGAATCATTCTAGACCCGTGGATGGGCATCCGTGGATCTGGAAACAGTTCCAGAAACATGGTTACGTCACTTCCTGGGCAGATGCAGAAGTATTAATCGCACCGTTTAACTACAGGATGAAGGGGTTCGAACACCAGCCCACTGACTACTTCATGAGGCCATTTTACTTGGCCGTGAACCCGATGTACAGGAAATACAGCCGTATGTGTCATGGATCCGAACCCAAACACATGGTCTGGCTCAACTGGATTCGTGACATTTTCTACATGTACAAAGACGACCCGAAGTTTATGGTCCACTTCTACACACCACTGAGTCACGACGACAACAACCTCATTACACTGGTGAGTACTTTAGTCTTGTCTCTACGTCTATTCTGTTTGGTGAGTCAACAAAAATTAAAGTTACAGTTGACTAATAGGAGTTTACACGTTAGCCGTATATACATTTTATTTAGTTCTGATATACGTTATTTTGGTACAAAAATAAAACTTCCCCGACATTCGCATCAGCTCACATTTTGTAAGAATTTTTTTGAAAAGGTCATATTACCCCTGATATTCCTATGAAAAACTAAACAACAACTAAAAAGTATCAACGATTACTAGATGGTTATGTCAGTGTCATTGATGACACGATGACATGCGTGTCACAATGACACGTACATGTTTTAACAATGTCTCTATAACAATACTCTATACTAAACAAATATACATAACTGCGACATAGTTTAAATATACAGACGTGCTCCTATGCACCCAATATTTACATAAGTGTATGGTTATTTAAAACACAATTGGAAGACTGCCTCCAGTTTTATCTCAACTGGTCAAAGTCTTTTCTCTTCAACAATGAAGCGACACACAATGGAGCGAGTGGCTGGCCAAGTTAAACATGTATTCAGCGCGGTGACTCCCCGGCATTATAACTAAATCCACCAATTAAGAGAGGATTAAGAGAGGAAATGTAAGCGAAAGAAACACAGTTTAATAGCTTTAACCGGTGCTTTTAAAACATTATTTTCAACATATGATTTATGAACAACTATCAGCAATATCTTATTTTGCTATTTTTGTTATTGATTAATTAATCGTTGGTTTTAAAGCTAAATACAACGCTCTATATAATGAACTGACCTGATTAGCTGATATAGACTACCTTTTTACAAGTTGAAATAACAAAATCAGTACATTGTTATAACAGTGTTCAGACCAATGTTTTGTGTGAATTACATCTAGGACATTACACGCTCGCAACACAAAAGCAACACATATGTATGTAATAAAGATCGCCTTATTAAAAGTCCCAGTCATGTGGATATTGTTTACATCACCGTAACGACCACCATACAGATCAACCTTTGAGTGTGTCCGGGTTTTCCTGCTCTTGTTCTTAGTACTTGTCCGAATGCCACCCCAGTATTACCTGTCATTTTTGGGAGTTCACATAATAAAGAAAGGTGTCTTGGATTGGTACATGCGTGTGGTAGGCGTGGTCGGGTGGGTTTAGCTCATGGTTACCATACCCTAAAAGTCCGAGTTCCAACCCCCGGATAGATTAATCTAACAACTGCAGCCGGGTAGCGTGTTCTTGGATTGGTAAAGGCTTTAGCAAAAAATCCAAACAGGAAAGCAGACTGGAATTTGAGTCTACGGCCTATACACTCCCTTCTAGGCTTGTGCTTATCATCCTTCATAACTAAAGTGCCACATCAAATAACCTAAACGTAACGTCAATTCTGACCCCCCCCCCCCCCCATTGACGGCGCGTAATTTAGTTAGTGAGCTGAATAGAATGACAACCTAGATTTCATGTAACTTACCTCAGTGACAAGACTAGTTGATTTTTTCATTACGCTAATTGTCATTAGCTGACATTACACAACTAGTATGTCATTTAGATGGATACAATTACATGCCTATTATGTTATTAATCTGACTGACACAGCTAAGCTGTCATTTAGCTGACTGACATTACACAACTAGCCTGTCATTTAGCTGACATCACACGACTAGATTAACCTCATCACCCCACAGTGCCACCTACACAACACCCGCACACCTCAACAAGACCCTTGAATTGATTTTCACTTGTCCACGTTCTCCATGCATTATTGAGAGACACACTCAAGGTTAACCACCATCATGTCTTTCATGTAGCCTGGCTGTTTGAGGCTGTAGCTATCAGTTACTTAGCACCAACAGCACCAACTTCCAGTACACTAGCCCCAGGGAATGGACTGGCAAGATGGTCTAGGTGGGGCAAAGGAAAATGTCTCGATGAATCCACAGGAGCAGAGTTTCTTTCAGGCATATCTTTTGGGGGAGGGTGGGGGGGGGGGGGCGAAATAGAAAGTACATACAAAAAATATATCCCTGAAAATTTAGTCCCCCCCCCTCCCCCAAGAATTGCAAGTGCCCCCCTCCCCACCATCGGAAGAAAAGAAATCTGAAAGACAATACTTCAGGACAAAATTAGTGTAGCACACGAGTCGGGAACTTATAGGCCAACATGTTGCATACGTCTATTTACGTGTAGGGAGCGGTGTTACGTTGTTCTAATAAAAACATAAGTCGACACAAACAAGGGAGGAGGGGTCGAACGAAATAGAATTTATATAAAAAATAAATATTTTTACAATTTGTCCGCCTAGCTGGAAGTCAATCAAGCCAATGTTGTTTCGCTGATTTAATAAACGTCGTACTTTCTTCACAAAGTTCAACAATCTTGAGCTAAAAGTCACACAACTTTAAGATTATGTGCAATTTCGTCTACTTAAACTCTAAACGCAAACGATATTACTAACAGTATTTTTATTTAGAAATTTCGGCCACATATTTATATTATCCACGAAACTGTCAAACACTGTATTAGGAGCTTCAATTCCTAAGAGTTCAAGTTTTTAAACGTATTTTTCCTTTTCCGCGGGCGCGATTCTTTACATACGGTGAACGCGTCCAGCGCTGGTGAACACGTCCAGCGCTGGTGAACAGCTGATTGTGTTTACGTCTGGTGTACACCACTGTGGCGGCGGGCGTAGGTATCACGTGATTTAGGTCACGTGTTTGCAAGGACTCTATAAAATGGCGGCGTCTATCGAAGAAAAATGTGTTCCCATTCAAAAGTTTAACGCGTTCTAAATCTAATTTTCTGTCGGTCATAACTTTAACAATACGTCCGTTTGCTGTATTTATTACGTTCCAACACTTATATCAATTTTCAACTATCTTTTTCATTTAGTTTAACGATAAATTTCTCTAGATCTAGATCTACAATCTGTCCAAGAAAGTTATATATAGATCTAGATCTAGAATCTAGGTCAAATCAAAGATTTATTAATTATAAATATAATCCAAAAAAAAAAACGAGACTTAAGCAAACCAGTCGTAGATCTAGAATATAGATAATTCTATCTAGATTTAGATAATAATGCGTTTCTATATACTAAACTATTTTAGACCTTTATTATTTTGTATAAATCTTTGTTTGGAATATGGTAATTTTGAAATGCTGTATCCAGGGCCTATGGGCGTAGCTTAAGATTCATACGCGGCTTCGATGCCGGTAATTTTGCTAAATTATAAACGTAAATTCTAAATATAGCTCAGTCGTAGATCTAAAATATAGATAATTTTCTATCTAGATTTAGATAATAATGATTTTCTATATACTAAACTATTTTAGACCTTTATTATTTTATATAAATCTTTGTTTGGAATATGGTAATTTTGAAATGCTCGCTCCGGGCCTATTAGCGTAGCTAATGATTAGATCTAGATCTAGATTCTAGATCTAGCAAGAAAAACTAAACTTAAGACTTAAGCAAACGAGTCGTAGAATCTAGATCTAGATAATTCTATCTAGATCTAGATAATTTCAGACCTTCTTTATTTTATATAAATCTTTGTTTGGCTAATTTAAGATAAAATTTAATTTGAAAGTTACTACTACTAGATCTAGACTTAGATCTGGATGTATGCGCGTAAATCAAGTTGCAAAAGGAGACTTAAAATATAGTACAAAAATTTACTTGTGACGTTACGAGTAAATAGCTAAGTTGGTAGTGTAAATGGCTCTCATGCGGGTGGCACAGGTTCTAGACCAATACGTCAATGTTTTTTTTTTTCATTTTTTTTTATATGTGAATGATAAAGTTGCCTATCTGAACTGGGCAGGATACAGGGCAGGTGAAGTAGAGTTCATCTGTTTCTTTGTCCTAAGCATATGAAAGGATAGTGTGGTCAGAGACATGCTCGACTGGAATCGTTTTTTAAACGATAAAAACATGTTGTCTGAGACTTGGCGGGACACTGGGCAGGTGAAGTAGAGTTGAGTAGGTCACCTGTGACGTCAGTATAGGTAGGGATAGTCCGAAATCGGTGTTTTCGGTGTTTTTAAAAGATAAAAAACATATTTTTGAATGTGGGGTCTGTTTTTTTTGTGACGATAAGTGACACTGCAGTAGCGTAGCGAGGAGGGAGGGGGGACATATGTCCCCGGGCGCCGACCTTAGGGGGCGCCAAAATGGGTTGGAAAAATAAATTGAAAGGTTGAGGGGGGGGGGGTGCAAATCGAAAGTTTGAGTGGGGGGGGTTCAAATCGAAATCTTGAGGGGGGTGCACATCAAAAGTTTGGGGGGGGGGGGGTTGCAAAACGAAATCTTGCGGGGGGGGGGGGTTCAAATCGAAAAGTTTGTCCCCGGGCGCCGGTAAGGGTCGCTATGCCTCTGAGTGACAGACGTGATGTTTTTTGATGGATGACCCCCGAAACCCACAGTTATCCAACGGATGACGGGTAGTCTAGTAGAATATAAAGGTAAATCGACTGTTATGTCTCAATGCAGCCTTTGAATTTGTGTGTATTAGTGAGGCATACAGTGTGAATAGGGGATAGGCTAACTTAAGAATCCGGTGTTAAAATATATTGCTTTGCTTCCGTCTTACTTGAGGTTCGCGAAAAAGTAAATTTACTTCATTCCAAAAACAGACATTGAATGTGAGTAGTTTACATTTTTTTTCTCGTACTTTTAAAGGTACGATTTAAACATAGTCGAATTTTGAATTATTTGGCTTTGTTTCTAGAAAATGTGAAAGTTAGTTGGTTTAAGTAAAGCAAATCAAATAACGGAATTTTTTTTCCATTGAACCTTCTTTTCCGAGTAACATCTTTTCCTGTTCGTTCCAAGACACATGTGGCAGATAAAGCAGAGTTCATCTGTTTCATAGATCTCGGAATATGAAAGGATAGTGTGGTCTTGAACTCGAGACTTTTGGGTAAACAGTCTAACTCTCTACCGCTAGGCCACGTCGTCCTTTTTTTTAAACACGTTTTTATTAACTCAGCTTCGCGTGTGTTTGTTGTTAAAATTGACATCGAAAATTAGCCCACTTCTGATTGCTCAATAGATCTGAAATTTGGCATGTAGGCTACTTTCGCCTAACAATTTCAGATGCAATGATAAAAACTAGCAATTAGAGACCGTAATTAGCTTAATTTAATTACGCCACAAGGACCATAAAATTGAGGACATGATTTCTAAAGATACCGACACGACTGGAGGCCTATTGACACAGTTACTTCGGCCCCAATCGATTTGAGCGCGCTGGCCGTGATCGTATAGTGGTTAGTACTTCGCGTTGTGGCCGCGACAACCCAGGTTTGAATCCTGGTCGCTCAAGATTTTTAGTCCGTGTATTTATAAACACTTAGTCAAGTCATACTTAATCAAGTCATTAGATATAGTAGAAAATAAACTATATAAAAAACTTTTTTAAAAACCACGTTTTTCATGTGTAGCAACGGACTAAAAAGGAGAAAATAAAATACTTAAAAAAAAACTTTAAAAAAAAACACGTTTTTCTTGTGGACTAAAAAGTAGAAAATAAATTTTCATACATTTGATGACAAAAAACGTGGGTCGGGCAGATGGGTCGGGAAATTTGATGGTGAACGTACCCACGTTTTTTGTCATCAAATGTATGAAAATTTATTTTCTACTTTTTAGTCCACAAGAAAAACGTGTTTTTTTAAAAAGTTTTTTTAAGTATTTTATTCTCCGTGTATAAAGCCGTTCGTTACTGGTCATATCTTATACTGTATTACCTGTGGCCAGACCGACCCAATGAATATGAGTTCAGGTTTAGATACGGTGCCTAGATCGCTAATGTATAGTAGGCCACAGCAAGACAAAGTAAAGAAAGTCAGGGTTTTTTAGACTGCTACAAAAACTGACAAGTTTGATGGGAGGGGCGAGCGAGTGGGGTGTCGACGGGGACACTTGATACTTTGTCAACAACGAGTGCGTGCATAGTTTGGTGTCTAGGTTTATGTCAAGTTTTATGAAATTTAGTTTTTCGGTACTGGTGGAGACGGGGGCTAGCATATAGGTGACAAGTCAAGAGTTAGGATTTAACTATTGGGACCACGTGATTCATTGATGTGTACATTTAGAGCTAAGATCTAAATAGATCTAATTATGTCAGTAAGTTATATTAATATATCTTACACATTTGATGTCATAGTGTGGTGTGAATCGTGTATTGTTTCTAGGAGTATTTTATTTATTTCTCATCAAAATTAATTAAATAAAAATACATTTCTAAAAATACATTTTCTATTTAATAATTTCCCTATTCTGTCAGTATGTCTATCTGGCTGAAAGGAACGCTCTAAAGAATACAAAACGAATAAGGCAAGAGTGATCTTCCCTAAACTTGTTCGCATATTCTTATATGACAGTAATAGGGGGTGGTACGTCCAGTCCCACCGGGCTTTAGAAATGTTCTGCTACATGCTTTTATTTAACTTGCCACCTCTGTAGTGCTTCGTCGTGGATCGAAACTGCCGAGCGAGATTTCGATCATTTCTAACTGACCGATTAGTTTCAAACTTGTCACTTGTGTCAAGACCCGACGACGATGCAATTTGGCATCAAATTTGACTAAACTGGATGCCTAATTAATTTTGTGTAAAAATAAACCGGGAGTGATCTCCCCTAAACTTTCTCGAATATTCTTATATAAAACAACAGGGGATGAGAACTCGGGCTATAGACATGATTTTTAATCCATTTTAAATACTTAAAGTTTTAAAAATAGAATAAAATCTCGTAGACAAAAGATTGCACACCAAGTGAACGCCAAATAAAAAAGTGCATAATAGTGCGCAATATTATTCTTCACTTACTTATTCCTCTTTGCTCCTTATGGAGCATAGGGCCTCCACCATTTCCTTCCATTTCTTCCTATCCTCGGCTATTAATTTTGACATCTCCCAAGACATCCCTATTGGCTTCAGTTCTTCAAGAAGACTCCGCCTCCAGGTCTGTCTTGGGCGCCCTCTCTTCCGCTTTCCCTGGGGGTTCCACTCAAGCGCTTGGCGTGTAACATTTGTGTGAGCCTTTCGCAGTGTGTGACCCACCCAGCGCCACTTCCTCCTTCTTATTTGCACACCTATAGGCTCCTGCCTAGCTTTCCTCCATAGTTCCAAGTTCGGCACTTTGTCCTGCCATCTCAGTTTCAGTATCTGTCTAAGGCATCTATTCATGAAGGTCTGTATCTTTGCTGTGCTTGCCTTGGAGACTCTCCATGTCTCTGCTCCATACAGCAGAACTGCCTTGACATTAGAATTAAATATCCTAATTTTCCCACGTTTTCTTTAACTTGCTTTCTCTGTTTGTTTGTCTTTCCAATCAAATCTTGCGATCGAAATTTCTGGCACTTCCCAGTTAGCTAGCGCGCTGAAATTTTCAGGGAAGCTTTCTTTTGGATGACCATAGAATATTCAATTGTTATTATTACTAAATTGATCAATGGAAACATTTTATTGAGCATTTTAGACCGCTATATAATCTATATATATAATTCTCCTCTGCGAGCCATTATAAAAAAACCCAGCGACGCGTAGCTAGCCTCTCTCTTGCCGCGCGCAGTGAAGCGAACGATCCCACTTCGCTACAGGCTTAGGGGCAGATAATTTAGTTTTAACCGACTTTAAACTTACAGGAGGTAACTATTACCACTGGTGGCCAGTTTGGGGGAGACGATATGGTCGAGTGGTTGGGCACACGATTGCTATCCCACTCGACACGGGTTCAAATCTATGTGTTCTAGTCAGTAACGTATTCACACAACGTGTTTTTTACGAGTTGTCTTTTTACGAGTTGTCTTCGTTTACCCAAAAAAAAAGTGAAAAGACTAAAAAGTAGAAAATAATAATCATTAAAAAAGTTTTAAAAAACCCACGTTTTCTGATTGAACTAAAAAGTAGAAAATAAATGCTATACATCACAATAATGCAAGCGATCACTCTACTATAAGCGATCAAAAACGTGGGGCGCCGTGATTTTCTTAAAGTTTCTAATACTGTTGACTCTCTCCAAGCTCCCTAATAAAAGTCAATAGTATTATCTAATCAATAGTAATATAACTTTTACTTCGGCGCCCCACGTTTTTGATCGCTTATAGTAGAGTGATCGCTTGCATTATTGTGATGTATAGCATTTATTTTCTACTTTTTAGTTCAATCAGAAAACGTGGGTTTTTAAAAACTTTTTTAATGATTATTATTTGTGGTAATGGAGATGGCCGAACTTTTCCATATGGGTCGCAGGACTGTGAAAGCGCAGCGTGCTTTATTAACTCTAGCGCGTATGTCCTCCTCTGTGCCTCCCGTTTTGCTGATCTTGCTGCCAAGGTAGACAAACTCTTGCACATCATTTACCTGTCTTCCGTCTATTGACACTGGAGCCTCCTGTTTATTGTTAATTCTCATCATTTCCGTCTTTTCTTTGTTGATCTTCAGACCTACGCGCTGCGAGATGGCTCCTAATGCATCAACTTTTTCTTGCATGTCCTGTAGCCTGTGCGAGAGTAAGGCAAGATCATCTGCAAACTCCAGATCTTCTAGTTTCCCCGTGAGTGTCCACTGAATACCTTTTCCAGAACTGGCATAGGCTGTGCGTGTCACCCAGTCGAGAACTACCAAGAAGAGGAGGGGCGACAGCAGACATCCTTGTCTCACACCTGTGTTGACCTGGAACTCTTTAGACAGTTTCCCTGCATGGCTAACTTGGCATGAAAATCCATCGTAAAGTTGCTGGATTATTTCCACTAACTTAGCAGGTACACCATAGTGTCTCAACAGATTCCATATTGTTAGCCTATCCACACTATCAAAGGCCTTCTCAAAGTCAACAAAGCAGATGTAAAGCGGGGCTTGCCATTCTGTCGTCTGTTCTACAATAATTCTAAGAGTGGCTATCTGATCTGTACAAGATCTTTCCTTCCTGAATCCTGCTTGTTCCTCTCTTAGCTTAAGGTCAACCGCCTCTTTCATTCTGTCCAAAATAACTCTGGTAAGGACTTTACTTGGTATGGACAACAAGGTAATGCCCCTCCATTTTCCACACTGAGATAAGTCACCGTTCTTAGGCAACTTCACAAGGAGGCCCCTTTTCCAATCGGTTGGGATCTGTCCTGTGTTCCAGACTAAGTTAAGTAATTTATGAAGTCGATTTACTACTTCTTCTCCACCTTGTTTTAATGCCTCTGCTGGGATATTATCTGGTCCTGCTGCCTTGCCACTCTTCAAACTATTTAAGGCGTTGAGAATTTTCTGTCTGGTGATTTCCTCGGTATTGATGTTAAGGGGTTCCCCTGGCTCCAGGTCTGGTGGATCTTGAGGTGCTGGACCCTTTAGTACTTCCTGGAAGTGCTCTCTCCGTCGTGCCAATTGTTCCTCAATTGACGTTAGAAGTTTACCATTTTTGCTCCTCACTGGCCTGTTGGTATTGGTTTTCCTCCCACTCAGAGCTCTGGTTGTTGCATAGAGCGTCTTGAGATCTCCCTTACTGGCAGCTGTTTCGGCCTGCTCTGCCATTTCATTTATAAACAATCTCTTGTCATTTCTTAGTTTCCTTTTCACCTCTTTAGCCTTTTCGTTATATCGAGCGGCTGCTGCTTGTTTTTGTTGCCGTGTTTTTGCTTGATTTAGTTCGCTCTTTAGGCTTTTTCTTTCTTCCACCTTCTGCCATGTATCATCTGTGATCCAGGGCTTCCTGTTTGGCGCTCTGCCTCCCAGAGCCTCTTCGCAGGCTTCAATAGTGGCTTGCTTAAATACTTCCCAGGTGTGTTCAACTGAATCAAGATCTTTCTCTTCTGTCTGTAGAGCTTCAAACCGATTCTTTAGGGTGACCTGAAAATTTGTCCTGTTGTCTTGCGTCTTAAGTTTACTAACATCAAATCTTCTTCGTGGATCAATTTCATGTTGCCTCTTCTTTGCCTTTAGCTTCATCTTCAGTTTAGCAACAACCAGGTGGTGGTCGGATCCTATGTCTGCTCCTCGCTTTGCTCTCACATCCTACAGTGAGGCCCTCCAACGACGCCTTACCGCGACATGATCAATCTGGTTTTCGGTATGATGATCTGGTGATATCCAGGTGGCTTTATGACACCTTCGGTGGGTGAAAAGTGTACCGCCGATAGTAAGCTCATTTGAGGCACAAAAGTCTGCGAAGAGTTCACCATTTTCATTCATTTCCCCTAGGCCATTGGTTCCCATCTCCATTTCCCTGCCTCTGTTGTCTTTGCCTACTTTGGCATTTAAATCACCCATGAGGATCAGCATGTCGCGCTTGTGTACCTTATCAACCACCGACTGAAGCTCTTCGTAGAAACGATCTTTTTCTTCCTCGTCTGCGTTGTTCGTAGGAGCGTAGCACATGATAATGGAGGTCTTTTGAAACCTGGATTCAAATCTAGCTTTAATTATTCGATCAGATACAGGTTCCCATTCCATCAGGCTTTTTGTTGCCTCCTTTGTCAATAGCAAGGCTACGCCTGCCTCTCGTGGGTCGTCCTCATTTTCTTTTCCCGAGTATAACAGTGTTTCTCCCGTCTGGAATTTTGTCTCTCCAAAGGTGTTCCATCATGTTTCGCACAGGCCAAGCACTGTAAGATGATACTGTTGCATTTCTTTCACTGCCTGTGCACACTTCCCTGCTTCCCATAGTGTTCTGACGTTCCATGTTCCTATGAGGATAGGTTTCTTTTGCGACAGTAGTTTTGGGGCTGTAGATTTAGTTTTCCTCGGTTGAAGAAGGGGGGTCGGCTCTGTAGGCAATATTATTAGTACTTTAAAAATTTACATTAGTTTTTTGAGAAATCGGAAGTAGCGTAAATTACTACTTCCGTCAACGGAAATGACTCAAAATTTGACAGAAGGTAGAGAATTAATCTTATACTTACATGTGAAATTTCATTTATCTATCTGAAATAGTACTCAAGTTATAGGCTTTTGAAAAATTCAAAGTAGAAAAAGTACCACTTCCGGTTATCCGAAATCGCTCAAAAGTTGATTCGGATCTACGATTTTGATAAAATACTTATATATGAAATTTCATCAAGCTAGCTGTAACGGTACTCAAGTTATCGTGTTTACACACGGACAGACAGACAGACACACAGACATAGGGACAGAATTGCAAAGTCCAGTTTTTCTGACTGGATTACGCATAGAACCTCTTAATTTTGAAAAATCTGGATTGATAATTTTTGCCCGATTAAAATAATTCCTCTATACTTCGGATGTGATAAAGGACTGAGGTGTAATACGGTGAAAATTGTTAAAATTTCAAAAGATTTTTTTGCACGATTACAATACTTTCTCTATACTTCGTATATACGAGAAAGTAAAAATACTTATTTAAAGTACTACTTACCGCGCTATTATACGCGCATTTTTCATGTTCATTTAGTGCGCTATAGTTTTAATCATGCAACTCTGTTATGTTAAAAATTATAAAGTACTGAAGTTTTTATGTAATAAAACATCAAACAAGAGAAAAATAATATTCTGTAAAAATATAATAATGAAATACTATTTAAATAACTATATTAAATAACTATATTATCTATTGGATACCTTTACTATTACTAAGGAAGCCGGTTTACACAAAAAAGACTGACGTCATTGATTGTTGAATAAAAAATAGAATTTTAAAAAGTCGAAGGCCGAAAAAACACACAATAACAATAAAGACAAAAATGAAACATCTAATTTATTTGTTTGATTTTAGAAGTGTACAAAAAAAAGTAAAATATATAGTAAGCGTAAGTATTAGGATTACGGTTAAGGTAAGGTTATTATGGGATTTTACGTCAGGTTTGGTTTCAGGATCAGGCTATAGATCTAATGCCAGTTCCAAATAAAGTTCTGTTTCCATTGAAATTTCTTACCAATGGAGGCGAACGAATTGACGAGAATCCTTCCATCATGTTGTTGACATGGAATAAAAACGTGCTTTTGTAGATTTAGCAAACAAAGCTACCGTTAAAAAAATAAAAAAAATAAAACTTAAGCCTAAAATTAATTAAGATATTTTATATTTTTATAATCAATGCTAAAAAAGTTGCAAATCCAGAGAACGTGAAAATACTTTGTTGAGTTTGAGGCTAAATTTCTATTTATTTTCATCAAGCCTAAGTTATAAACGGATGTTTTACTTTCGTAAGACAAACATTGATTGGCTGTACAAGAACTCCTTGATCGATAACTATTTGTTTACAAAACTTGGCAGATAAAATTTTTAAATAACAAAGCAAATTTAAGCCCCATGACCTAGTTTTCCTTTTTTGTCGCTTACAATAAAATTTATGGCAGCCTATCGAATAGCAGGATGCCATTGTTTTATTGTTTTATGTCGCCATTGCAATTGAAAAGTAAATTGTTTTTGCTTTTTTTTTTAAATTTTATTTACCGAAAATATTAAAAACATCAAATACATCCAATCTTTAGTAAAGTCCTAAAAAAACAGACAGGCAGGATTTTATAACCATATTAATTTTAACTACGTCGTGCATGATTTTTAAATTAATTAATGGGCCTCTCGAATACTTTCTCGCTCGCGTCCATTAAGTAAGGTACTGATTTCGGTTAAACTTCAAGTCGAGTTTAATTTCCGTTTGCGTCAAAGTTCCGTCTTTAGATAAATTTCCGCTTAATGTTTAATTTCCCGTTGTATTTCGACCTCAATAGGCGAATTATTAGTTTGAAAAATAATTTGTTTTGAGAATCCAACTAGTTGGAATTTATCAGTTTTATCAACTAATTGGTAGTTATAATGTCAATAAAACCAGTTTTATTTCTTTATATCTCTTATCTTCAGTATTTATATCAGAATGTATTTGTATCCATCTTTAATCTATTACAGAAAAGCACCTTATCCCTATAGACTTAAATTTCAAAAACTACATAAAGAAATATATTAACACTGATTTAATTTGAGTCTGAAATCCCCATTTTCAACATGTTGTATCGGAATTGTAAGCGGGTGTTGTGTGCTGTTACCTTACCCAAACTGTTGGGAGGAGTGACGTTGATGTCCACGCTGTTTGTTATACTAACACACCAAAACTACTTGTTTAGTCGTGCAGATAGTTCTCGGCACATGATCATCAGTTATTTCAATACACATTGGAACGACTCCCCTGAGGAACCCCATGTCTGTGTACACCCTGATCTTCAAGTCGATGACCCAATAATGCTCAAGTTTACCAAGGCGGCAAGGCCTATAAATTGTAAGAGCTACACGAATTGGGCCACCGTTGAAAACGGGACTATTCGTTACACGAAAATCGCCTTAAACTACCACGGCGATTTTAAGTGTGTTTATTATCCTTTGATTCGAGGCCCAGGGGATTATAACATTACATTTGGTGAGCCTTTTCCTGTGAAAAATGGAAGTCCCTTAGTGTCGAATTTCTTCAAACTTGAATGTAACCCTTCTTTAAAAAGGACGCATTATTTAAACATCCACGCTGGGGTGTTTGTGAACCAGACGATCAAAGACAGGCTCAAGCTGACCAAACCTCCAGCCAACGGTCTGGGACTGTCTGTGGCGCTACTAGGGTTTGATTCCATGTCCAGAATGTCCTGGCTGAGACGGATGCCAAAGACCAGAGAGTATCTGGTCAACACGCTAAAGGCGATAGAGCTGGAAGGTTACAACATCTTGGGGGACGGGACGCCGGCGGCGTTGTTGCCGATCCTGACAGGCAAGCACGAGCATGAGCTACCGGAAGCCAGGAGAGGAAAATTTAACGCTCAGCCTGTTGACGTTTTCCCTTGGCTGTGGAACGACTTTAGAGGTCAAGGTTACGTCACCTCCTGGGCTGATGCTGATGTTGATATCGCCCCTTTCAACTACCGAATGCTGGGATTCAAACACCAGCCTACTGACTACTTTATGAGGCCGTTTTACTTGGCCGTGAACCCAACTTACAAGAAATACAGCCGTATGTGCCATGGATCCGAACCCAAGCATATGGTCTGGCTCAACTGGATTCGTGACATTTTCTACATGTACAAAGACGACCCGAAGTTTATGGTCCACTTCTACACACCACTGAGTCACGGCGACAACAACCTCATTACACTGGTGAGTTCTTTAGTCTTGTCTCTACGTCTATTCTGTTTGGTGAGTCAACAAAAATTAAAGTTACAGTTGACTAATAGGAGTTTACACGTTAGCCGTATATACATTTACAGTTTATTTAGTTCTGATATACGTTATTTTGGTACAAAAATAAAACTTCCCCGACATTCGCATCAGCTCTCATTTTGTAAGGAATTTTTTTTTTATTAAAAGGTCATATTAACCCTGATGTTCCTCTGACAAACTAAACAACAACTAAAATTTAAAACGATTACTAGATGTTTATGTCAGTGTCATTGATGACACGATGACATGCGTGTCACAATGACACGTATATGTTTTAACAATGTCTCTATAACAATACTCTATACTAAACAAATACACATAACTGCGACATAGTTTAAATATACAGACGTGCTCCTATGCACCCAATATTTACATACGTGTATGGTTATTTAAAACACAATTGGAAGACTGCCGCTAGTTTTATCTCAACTGGTCAAAGGTTTTTCTCTTCAACAACGATGCGACACACAATGGAGCGAGTGGCTGGCCAAGTTAAACATGTATTGTATTCAGCGCGGTGACGTCCCGGCATTATAAGCTAAATCCACCAATTTTGAGAGGATTAAGAGAGGAAATGTAAGGGAAAGAAACACAGTTTAAAAGCTTTAACTGGTCCTTTCAAAACATATGATTTCCGTACGACTATCAGCAATATCTTATTTTGCTATTTATGTTATTGATTAATTAATCTCTGGTTTTAAAACTAAAAACAACTCTGACTTGATTAGCTGGTATAGACTACCTTTTTAAAAGTTGAAATAACAAAATCAGTACATTGTTATGACAGTATTCAGACCAATGTTTTTTTCTCCGGGGGGGGGGGGGGGGGGGGGGGAGGGGCACGTGAAATTTTTGGGGGGGGGGGCGGTCAAAATATTTCGGGGTTCGGGGCGGGGGGGGGGGGGGGCGGGGGCGGACACTAGTAAAAGTGTATGTTTACTATATAAAATCCATCTCGTCCGTGGGGCGGTAGATTTTCTCCGGGGGGGGGGGGGCTATACACTCCCTTCTTGGCTTGTGCTTATCATTCTTCATAACCAATGTTCCACAGCACCTAACCTAAACGTAACGTCAATTCTGAACCCCCCCCCCCCCTATTGGCTGTGCGTAATTAGTTAGTGAGCTGAATAGCCTGACAACCTATGTTTCATATAACTTACCTCAGTGACAAGACTAGTTGATTTTTCATTACGCTAATTGTCATTAGCTGACTTTACACAACTAGTATGTCATTTAGATGGATACAATTACATTCCTATTATGTTATTAATCTGACTGACACAGCTAAGCTGTCATTTAGCTGACTGACATTACACGACTAGCCTGTCATTTAGCTGACATCACACGACTAGATTAACCTCATCACCCCACAGTGCCACCTACACAACACCCGCACACCTCACCAAGAAACTTGAATTGATTTCCCCTTGTCCACGCTCTCCATGCATTATTGAGAGACACACTCAAGGTTAACTACCATCATGTCTTTCATGTAGCCCCGCTGTTTGAGGCTGTAGCTATCAGTTACTTAGCACCAACAGCAACAACTTACAGTACACTAGCCCCAGGGATGGACTGGCAAGATGGTCTAGGTGGGTCCTAGGAAAATGTCTCGATGAATCCACAGGAGCAGAGTTTCTTTCAGGCATCTCTTTTGGGGAGGGGGGGGGGGACAAAATAGAAAGTCCATACAAACAATATATCCCTGAAAATTTAGTCCCCACCAAGAATTGCAAGTGCCCCCCTCCCCACCATCGGAAGAAAAAAAAATCTTAAAGACAATACTTCAGGACAAAATTAGTGTAGGGCATGAGTCTAGAACTTATAGGTCTACACTTCGCACAAGTCTATTTACGTGTAGGGAGCGGTGTTACGTTGTTCTAATAAAAACATAAGTCGACACAAACAAGGGAGGAGGGGTCGAACGAAATAGAATTTATATAAAAAATAAATACTTTTACAATTTGTCCGCCTAGCTGGAAGTCAACCAAGCCAATGTTGTTTCGCTGATTTAATAAACGTCGTACTTTCTTCACAAAGTTTACAATGCAACAATCTTGAGCTAAAAGTCACACAACTTTAAGATTATGTGCGATTTCTCACGTATTTCAAAAATTAATAACTTTAGCAGCCTTGACACCCAAACCCTCTTACAAATATGTTAATCTCTAAAGTAAACAACGCCAAATATTGTCTTGTATACACTTTTTTTGATTTTTATCACAGCTACTTAACGTCCCCCCCCCTGCCTTACAATAGACTACTTCTATTTACGCCAGTGTCGTAAAGTTA